CACGTTGTTGATTTGCAGAAGACACCAAACGAAATGTACCAAGATTTATTACGCACGTGCACACTAATTGTAACCTATTGTTTAACGACGTTTTCATTGTTCTCGTTGTTGGTGTTTTGAACTTTACTCCCTTTTTGATTTGTTTTTGAAAAAATCTACGCCATTTTTTAGCAGCTTTTCTCCGCTAATAGTTGGGATAATTTTAATATTGCCAGTATAGCTGTTCCTTTATTCGCGCAATGCCAAAATGTTTTAAGTTGGCAACAACAATTAGAATTTTGCCAGAAAAAAATCAGAGTTTCGGCCAGAAAATATACCTTAGCCAGGGTTTAAAGGCCGGCAATATCGCTTAAAATTCAGGTGGTTCGTAATAGACTTCGAAAAAATTCTCTAGTGGTGTCACCCTTTCCTAATTTGGAATGGATCGTCAAAACTCTCCATATTAATTGAACCACACTCTGAGTCCGGCTGTCTTTGAGGAAATTAAACCCACGCAGTTTTTTCTGGGAATATAAACCGTAAGTGCCAGCAAAAAATTGTACTGAAGTGAAACCCAGAATCAATATATGAGCTGTCTTTCTCTAGGGAAACGCCATAAAGTTTTGATTTCATTAAAGATAATTTATTTCGCAAACTTCACAAGATAAAACATTAGTAAATGCCGAGCTGCTTAACATCATCCATAATTTTTTTACAAAATGTTCATGTTTGGCTCCGCTGATCTTTATAGATAAGTTCCAGAGTAGATTATTGAAATAGAGGGGATATAATTTCTCAGTATAATTATAATTGAATAATCTCACCATCTAATACGTTCTCCCATATAACACTGATGTAGCTGTCACGGTCAGGCCTACTTTGCTCGTGCCAGAACCCAACGGAATGCCCGATCTCGTGTTCCATTACGTGCTGAAAATCGCAGTTGTCACCGATAGAGATCTGGGTTTTGTAGCCGTGATGGCCCACGTGACCCCAACAGCTAAAAAAAAATAATACAACTGAGTGAATGAGAGAGCGAGCGAACTGACGAATGAAACTAACTAACGATCTGAGAAAAGAAAAAAACGAACGAATGAACGGGGGAACGAACGAACGAGCGAACGAGCGGACGAACGAACGAACGAACGAGCGAGCGAGAGAGCGAGAGAATGAGGGAGCGAACGAATGAACGAAAAAACACACGCCCCTCGTCGGCACGTTTCAGTTATTCAGTCTCACTAGTCCATACTTAAATGTTCTTACGGATAATGATTTTGCTCT